AGTCATAAAGCTGTGCACAAAATTAGACAAAGTTCTCCCCAAAGCAGAGTTCTGCAGAAAGCTTGAATGTGCAATAGAATACATTTTAAAATCTGCTTTCTGTGTCGCTGCACCATTTAATTTTTAATTAACACCCCTTCATTAGGCCTCGTGTCAGGGGTCACTAAAGACTTTTATTAAACCCACTAAATTCATCAGAATTAAAAAAAAAAAAAAAAACACTTTAAAAAAGTGCATTTTTATGGACTTTGATGTTTCAAAAATAAAAGTGATCCTGACGTGTTTTAATACCTCGACATCATGACGCTGCTGTGTTTAAAATAAATGCGTGACATTTTGTCGGGTGCACTCAGGCCATGAGCAGGAGACACGCGGCGACATGGCCCAGCTGTGTGCAGATGTGCGTGTTTGCTGCTCCTTCCTTGTCACTGAATGAAAACGTGCTTGTGTTTGTGGCCTCGTCCCGCGGCAGCAGAGAGCGAGGACCCGCTGCCGGAGAGCCCGCAGCCCGCAGCTGTGCGCGCCGCGCCGCCTGGGCCCCGCACGGAGGAGGAGACCCGCGTGGAGCTGCAGGGCTCCGACCTGTGGAAACGCTTCCACGAGATTGGCACGGAGATGATCATCACGAAGGCTGGACGGTGAGGCGTGCAGGGAATAGGCCCATGCACTTATAAGCCTCCGTGCACGTTTTGATTTGTTTAGATAATTATTCATCTTTTCATCACAGGCGGATGTTCCCTGCCATGCGCGTGAAGATCACAGGCTTGGACCCCCACCAGCAGTATTATATTGCCATGGATATAATCCCAGTGGACAACAAACGATACAGGTGAGGCACACTTTATGACATTTAAAATGCGTTATTTTATTATTATTATTATTGTTATTATTATTATTGTTATTGTTGTTGTTGTACTGAAACTTGCAGAGCTGTCGTTTAGACTCGCTCATCTGCTATAAAAGACCTTTATAGTGACTTGTTCTGACGCAGTCTCAGTCTGGACTCACATAAAGAGTTTGTGGGTCGGTCCGGGGGTGCACGCGCAGCCCGGAGTCCACAAATGGCGCTTGGCTCGGGTGGTTCTCGGGTGGTTTTGTCACGGCGGTTTTGCTGTCCCGTTTGTGGGGAGCCTTTTGGATGTTTCTAACCTCTCTAACCCTGAGGGTCAAAAGTTGCTCTGAACCAGGGGAGTCGGTGCAGCCACGTCCCCCCGCGCGCGCAATGCGCTCGATCCATGTCGGTCCAAACGGCACAACAAGCTGCACCATGATGTGAACAAAATGTGCATATTTGTAGTTTTTTAAGATGCATTCTGGAGGTTTTTATTATTTTTTTTTTAAAGTTTAATCTAAATTTTTAACAGCAGGTGATCAAATGTTCTTCGTGAAATGCGTCCACATTAAATTGAACTTTGACCTCAGCTTAACCTGAACCGAGTCAAAACTGATGTTCAAAAAAAAAAAAAAAAAAAGTGGAGCTTCCCCCTGAAAAGGTTACAAAACTTTTAAAACCACAGGACCAAACAGTATAATCTAAAGATTAACAACGGTCACATGACACAAAAATATCAAAGTGAATAATACAAACAACAACAACAAATAACAACAAATAACAAGGTTGTCCCTGTCATGAAATATGTAAATAAACCAACATGAAAATCAATTAAAATAATTTAAAAAGTTAATATCTCACATGAGTCCAAGGAGAAGAGATGAGTTTTTAAGATGATTTTAAAAATTGGCAGAAGAGGAGGGTTGTCTAATGTGGTGGTGTTGGTGGTGGTGGGGGTGGTGGTGGTGGTGGGGGTCATTCCACTATTAAGGAGCAGGAAAACATGAGCTAAATGTGTTGGGTCATGATGAAGTTAATAGAATTTCTCACATTTCATCCTGGCTGTTTAGAGTCGGCTCAGAATGGACGACTCACTGCTCTGATCACTGTCCTGTGTTTGAGCTGCAGGTACGTGTATCACAGCTCCAAGTGGATGGTGGCAGGGAATGCGGACTCCCCCGTCCCCCCCAGAGTCTACATCCACCCAGACTCTCCAGCTTCCGGAGAGACGTGGATGCGTCAGGTGGTCAGCTTCGACAAACTCAAACTGACCAACAACGAGCTGGATGACCAGGGACACGTAAGGACCTCAACGTTTCTCCATCTTTCCTTTCATTTGATGTTTTCAAACCCCACCCAACATGCGTTATTTTAAATAATTTATTCCGAACATTTGTGTTTTATTGAACCCATCTTCTCCCGTCTTGTTTAGATCATTCTTCACTCCATGCACAAGTACCAGCCCCGAGTGCACGTCATCCACAAGGAGTGCGGAGACGACTTGTCTCCAGTGAGAGCCGTTCCAGTCGGGGAGGGCACCCGGACCTTCTCCTTCCCTGAGACCGTGTTCACCACCGTCACGGCGTATCAGAACCAGCAGGTAGAGTCATAAACGTCAGAACACGATCCAACAAAGTCCAGAAAACACGAACAAGAAGCCGCTTCTACTGTGGTCTTGAATTATTCACGCGTTAGTTTGTCAGATAAGATCATCACAATTAATAAACTTAAAATCAATTTACCTCAGCAGTTTTTAACAGTTAAATGAAGCTTGTTTCTGCTTATTTGATCACGTTTGAACAAATTTATAATAAATTGACGAGATATAACGTCGCTGTGGTTTTTATAAAGTTTGAGAGATGTGTAAAAAAGTGTTGGCTCCAAATGAAACTCATCATTTTAAATTAAATTCAAGTTATTGCAGGGTGTTTTGAAAAAGAGGCCAACTTTAATTTCTAAAGACAACAATCAACGAAAAGCTGCCTGAAAAACATGCGTTCAATTAGAAAAAATTTAATCTGTTTTTTTTTGTTTTCATTTTCAGCCCAAATTAAATTGTGAGTCATTATCTCAGAACCTAAAATAATGTATTTATTACATATTGAGCCCTTGAATCAAAATCATTGAGCAAAACAAATGCGTACTAATTTAAATGAATTAATGATCGATTTTCTTTTAATTTGAAGGTAAAAATATGACAATAAAAACACGTTTTATTTCCTGCATCATTGTAATCAAACATTTTGATCCAAAGGGCCACGTCAGGACGTTTAAAGCCGTTTAAAAGGCCGCAGAGCGAATTGGAAAATAAATTTTATTTATTACAGATGATCTAGACGACCTTTTTCAGACTTTGTCTTATTTAGCACAGTTAGCATGCGTTATAAAACAAGTCTTTCTACACTTTAGGAATATGAAACATATTCTGTAAACTGGCTCTTGTGACAAGATATTATACACGTTAGCTTAACATGTTGGACATGTTAGCGGAAATATGCAAAATAACTTATTTGTGTTTTTAAGTCTTTAAGGTTCAGTCTGGAAACACAAAAACTTAAAAAAAAAATTAAAAAAAAGTTTTGCGTAAGACGTGCAATTTAAATGTCCTTAAATATCTGATAAATTGCTGCTTTTTAAAAAACATCAATCTTTTTATTTATTTATTTATTTTTATCTAAGGATATTGGGGGTCTAAGAGGAGTGGTGGTGCAGAAGTTAGAGAAGGTGCGCCTGTGATCAGACGATCGCTGGTTCAACTCCTATACCGACAAAATCAAAATGTGGGTGGGATTGGTGAAGCACCCACGCCTGCCTCCACCCTCATTTGCCCCACTCTGGGCCCTTGAGCAAGGCTCTGAACTCCTCCGGGCACCCTAGACAGCAGCTCTCTGCTCCACACAGAGGGCTGTAGCTCGGTTGTATCAAGAAGGACATCCGGCGTAAAAATAATCGCCAAGTCTTCGTGCGACTCAGTTCACTGTGGCGACCCCTGAAGAAAGGAGCAGCCGAAAGAAGAAGAAAAAAACTGGGGGCCTGATGAAGATATTCCAAGGTGCCACTTTTGGCCCTCGGGCCTTCAGTTGCCCATTTACAATCATATTGATTGTATGTTATATAACATGTTATTATCAGCTCTATTCAAAAACAACCTCCCTGCAGAAAACAAGATATTTAGTTTTTTCATGTGAGGAAGAGTGACAGATGCCCCAGTTTTCAGACTGGAACCAGTTGTTCCTCCTAAAACTCTTATTAGACTCATTGCTCAGGAATTCTGGTGCCTTGATGTCTGAGAGTTTCTGGATTCATCTCAGTTTTCTACGGGGTTCTGTTCGTGTGAGAGAGTTTGGACTTTGTCCTTTCACTTCGGACCAATCGGTGTCAGCTTTGAAGATGTTAGCCGAGGTCGTTTGGCCCCGAGTTACCATGGCTGAAGTCAGAACATGGTGGCGCTGCCTATAAACGTCTCTTTGGACGCGGGTCACAGAGCCGAGCCTGAAACACCACCCACAAGCTGAACACACACACACAGGAACACATTAATGTATTGTAAGAACGAATTAAAAATGAAGGAGAGGGATTTATTGTCGAGGATTTAAATAAATCTTTTGACAGTTGTCATCTTAGACAGCGGTGTTAAATAATTAGAGTTTTATTTTTGCTTTTCAGATCACGAGGCTGAAAATCGACAGAAACCCGTTCGCCAAGGGCTTCAGAGACTCCGGCAGGAACCGGTGAGTTTATTTGAACCGCAGAGATTTTCACGTTTGGGAGACCTGGATGCATTTTAATCTGGCTTTGTTGTGTTTTTTTTTTTTTTTGTCACCACTGCTTCAGTTTACGAGGAACTAAAAGCTTGATTAATTCGTTTATTTACTTTTGATGAAAAAAAAAAAAAAAGTGGCAGCAGACTTGCGTCCAATTTCACCCAAATGGTAAAACAGAAAATAGGTAGCACAACTAATAAAAGTTATAGTTACTATTGGGTTGGTAAAGACACGCTTTAAGGAGGAAAATGCAACTCGTGGTGCAAATCCTAATGAAGCGTCCACTGCCAGCCAACCTCAACACGAACAGTAAAATAATACAATCATGCGTCCCGAGGAAAATCTGTATAAACACATTTCTAAACGTATATAAACACAGCATTAAACCAACAGGGCAGTAAAACTCCAGCAGTCTGCAAACAGCCGCTCCCCCGAGGCCTCACAGAAATCATTAGAGAGGAGGAGAGGGTGGAAGGTGCAGAGCAGCGAGCTGGATGAGACCCTGACAGCTGACCCTATAAAAGCTGAACCCTGGAAAACAAGAAGAAACCCCTCTCCTTAAATATTACAGGAAGAGTTAAGCAGTTTGCTAAATAAACTTCGGCTCTGATTGGCTGCTTTGGCGCACTCAGAACTGCTCCGAGCAGCTTGTCTAAATTATCACCGAGGCTACAACCCCGTGTGTGTATGGGGGGGACTTTTATCCTCATGCTAATGAGCGGTAACTGACTCGCATTACACCACCACAGCAACCCTCCACCCCACCTAGAGGAGGGATGGAGGTGGGGGACTGAAAATGAGGAGGGGAAGGGGAGTCTCACCTCATAAATCGCTGCTGCGGCTTCCTGCTCCTTCGTCTTGATTCGCCCGTAAAAGCCGTGTGAAAGCAATTACCTCCGAGCACCCGAGCGGCAGCAGCCAATCGCAGCATGGCGTTTATGCTCCTCATTACTTATCGTCTCCATAGAGATGCCAAGGGTGGCCCCACAGGCGACTAAGATGGCCGCCAGGTGGTTGGCGCAATGCGCTGAGGCGCGCTGGGAGCTTTCGCATGCAGAGAGTGCAGGGTGGACGTTGACGTGCGTGGGTTTAAACGTGTTTGTGTGTTTCACAGGATGGGTTTGGAGGCGCTGGTCGAGTCTTACGCGTTCTGGCGTCCGTCTCTCCGAACACTCACGTTCGAGGATATTCCTGGCATGGGAAAACAAGGTAGACAAATTGTCTTTGTTAAAAGAAGAGTGGAAGATTTAGTCATGAATAAGAATCAAAATGAGAAAACATACTGTATAAAATATGTAATGTCTCTAGTGTTTGGAGAAAAAGAGTTTAATTCTGTCTGAACTGATGAGCTAACAGCTAGACTGGGTGGGGCCAAGAACAAAGTTGACTACTTCTATCTTAAAACACCCACAATGTCAAACAGTTGATAGCAGTGAAGGCAAATGCACTTTTATAAACCTTTACACTACATTATATTTACAAATGTTCAGGTGGACATATAATTTTCCAGCAGGAAGTGCTCCAGGCAGCACTTTAAAGGTTTAACTGCTTTGAAATTCTTTTCCAGATTAGAGATTTTGACCTATTTCAGTCTTGGCTCGCTCAGACTAGCTGTTAGCTCATCACTCATGCCAGAATTTAACCATTTTTCTCCAATCTGAGGTTGTTCAAAGAGCTATCTGCAACAGGTAAGATACTGACTGTTCATAACCTATTTGAAAAATCACCACCTCGATGAATAAAATGGATCTTGTTTTTGTAGGACTCCCAGGAGCCCATGCAGCGGTTGGAACACCCTCTCATCTGCTCTCCACATCGCCATGCTCATCGCCGTTCCAGGTGTGCCCTCTCAGCCCACCGGACTACAGCTGCAGCCGACCCACACACCCCCTCCACCGTTACGGCAACCCCCCCGAGCCGTTTCCTCCTCCCAGAGGTCCATCTGCTTACGACGGGGAAGGCTTCTGCTCCCTGACTCTCCCTGCAGCTCAGCTCGGCTATCTATCCAACCATACCCCACAAGGTTACACTGGGCTTCGCCTTCATACGCCACCGTACAGCCTGTACGGTTACACGTTCCCCCCCTCACCCCGCCTCGCCGCCAGCCCTGATAAAATGCCCACCGCTGCCACTGCCAGTCATCAGAGCCCCTTCCACGGCTCATCTCCCAATGGAACTTTAACAGACAGTCTGGGTGTGCTCAGCGGAGGACAGCAGGGCTTCTTATTCGACTCTCGGACTTTAGGAATGGCGAGCAGCCAGACGGGAGGTGGGGTGTCGCAGGTCACTGCCCATATGGGATGAACTATAATTCTTGCCACGAAAATACAACAAAACCCTGGGATTGGTGCAAGTTTCTTACGGTTTAGAACATTCTGTGTTGACACCATGTTTATCTGTGGACAACAAAGTAAGAGTGACAGATTAAAGTTGTATCTGGGGTGACAATACTTTTCAGTCCTTTTGAACGTGGTTTCTCAGACGTGCAGGCACAGCTGCAAAGGTAACTAGAGGAACAAACACCAAGAAGGAGTCATGAAGCCATCGAGTAAAACTGGAGCTGAAAATAAACTGGACTCAAACTCAAAGCAAGCACTTCATCTTCCTGGCAGAGAAACTGTGGTGCTTTTCACCCTCGAGGCAGAACTGATCCTCCTTTGTTGCACATCAGTGTTGCGTGTGTGCCTGATGTGGCACTGATGCACCTCTGGGTCGAAAACAGTGCGAGCGTGTGAGAACGCACAGCTTTAAATGCCAACAGCGCTGTCCTCCAGCGTCCTGTGTGGAATCACACACCGACACAGCTGAGACCCTCTGTTTGGTCTGCACACTAACAAGGAGCAGCAGCGGCGTAACCAAGACGTCTTTTTTTGTTGTTGTTGAACAGGCACATCCTCCGTGTGCAAAGGACATCTCAAACTGCCTTTATAATCCTGTCTACTTCGGATGGAGCTACTAAACGACTTATTATTTCATGTCTGCTTTTATTAATATGCACTACAGGCTCAGCCTTTCCCCACACAAACTAATTTAGTTTGATTTTTTTTCCACATCTGGATCCTGACCTATTGACATGATGTCAGCAGTGAGAGGACATTTACATAGAAGAGGTGAAAACTGTGGGAGAATAACAGGTGTCAAACTCATCTACACATTCTATGTCTAGTTTATCACATGTTTACTCGATCAAGGTCTGTGATCATCAGACTCAGGTACAGCTTTTGATCAGGACCTGAGGTAAGCCTGGATCTCACTGCGCTGTGGCTGTTGATGACAAAACTTGGAGGCCAGTTGCGAGGGTGTTATCAAAATGTCCTCAAATGTTTTCAGTCTCCTCAGGTGAGCTGTAGGACAACTGCAAAACCAATTCTAGTTTCCAAGTGTCAGAAAGTGCAAGAAACGAGACCACTTTGTGAGAATTTGACTACCCCATAACCAAATTGTGGTACAGTAGTCCCTTGATTATCACAGGGGTTACGTTCCACACAACACCGCGATACGTGAAAAACCACGAAGTAGGAATGCTATATTTATTTTAGTATTTATATATATTTTAAGGCTTTATTAACCCTTCCCACACTCTTGCAATGTTCTAAACTCTTAAACCTACGTCATTTTAACAACATACGTATATGTACTGTACAGTACTGCAAAATTTTACCCGCTCTGCAGAAATAGAAAGCTCTGTTCTGGTCAGGCTCGGTTCCGGTTCTGCAGACTTACCCTGCAGCCTCAAAGCTCACCGCCCCGTCCAGGTTGATGTGCACGTGGATAATTGAGCTTCAGGATTATTTGAGACTTTACTTCCAGTTCTGTGAGCATAACAGATAGACAGTTACTTCTGACTTTACGTTGCAAAACGTTCCCTCCATTTTGGCAGAAAGCAGTGGCCGGAAGCACTGTTGGCTTCTGGGTAGTGTAGTTCTTTTGACTGGCGTTACAATATAGGCTTATTGAAAGAAAACTACAAAATGGCGGCACCTGTCCCAAGTGTTTATTCATTTTTGTTAACTTTTTATCCTGTGCCATTCCAATCATGTGAGTAATATTAATGTTGACAATCACTGAAAAACTGCAAAGAGTGAGTCTGTGAAAGTCGAACCGCGAAGTAGCGAGGGACTACTGTATTTTGGAGATAAGAAAGATGAATAAATTATAATCAAATGGAGACACTTTATGACTAAATTACAACAAATAAATCTGCATGTCTTGATAGAAATGTCAAGCATATAATTTTTTTTAAAGCAAATTAAGTAATTTAGGAATGCTGGTAAGAGGGTCTAATATATACAAAAAGATGTCGTTTGCATATAATGGAACTTTGCGCTCCATACCTAGTCAATTAATCCCTTTATTGATGGAGTTCTGCCGTAAAGCTACAGCTAATGGTTCTATCACCAATGCAATTAGAAGTGGTGAAAGCAGGCACCCCTGTCTCGTACCCTGCTACAGTTCAAAATAAGAATATATGTTACAGTTGGTGCGGACCGCCAACATTGTGGAGGTATATATCAGCCTCACCCATGAAATTAATTTGGGACCAAACTTAAATAACTTTAAAGTCTTGAAGAAGCCGTCCCACTCCACCCGGTCAAATGCTTTCTCCACATCTAATGAAAGAATGATTTCATCACAGGTGTGACAAATTCACAAACTACAGGTAATAGATTAGTAGATTGTAGATTTAGACAAAACGTTTCAACAAGAAGAATCCATCCAGAGGACCTGACTTAACTCTTTTAGATTTTTCTTCCTGGATTATCGAGAAGGCATCAGGACAGTTCATGCACAATTAGTTTTGTTCAAACACGTCATCAAGTACCGTATTTTTTGCTGTATAAGTAGCAGTGTTTTGTATAAATTAGCATGCCTGCGACTTATACAGCAAAGCAACTTATTTATGCTTTTTCCCACATATTTATAATCCAATTTTTGGCTGAGATCTGACAATTTCATTCATTCTGACATGGAAAATATTGAACACTACCATTTTCAGCCACAAGAGGGCCCTCGACTAACATGGCAAGCCAATTGTCTCATTAATAGGTAAAAGTGGCTATTAATGAGACACTTGGCTTGCCATACCAAGCCACCATTGTCTTGCTCCGTAACTCCTGGAGCAAACGTCAAATCAGCTGCATTTCGCCGTGTCGCCCAGGTGAAATGCAGCTGATTTGACCATCAAAATGCATTTATTATGTAAAAGTTCAACTGAGACACACCTTTACTATAATGTCGAGCAAACAAATAATTGCTTTTAGATGTTAATCTTGGTAAATTCTTGTTAAAGTCCTCCAATGCACGCTCCCGCGGCCACCATTTGGCAGCCATTCAATTTTTGGCACAACACCGGCCCACATTTCCTGCTTGTCAGCGGTGACTCATAATAGATGCAACGTATACGGCAAATCCAAGTGTACGGCGGCAAGTACGGTATTCATCTTATGGGATTTAAATCAAAATTTCTTGCATTTTTGTGTCTACAACTAGTCTCCAACAGTTTCAGCCAATAAGATCCTTTTTGTACACGCAGTAGCTTTGGGGGGAGGGGGGTCAGCAGTAGGGAAGGCATATTTATAAAGGACTACAAATCCCTTCGCACTTAAAAACAAAAAAGAAAAGCAAAAACAAAAAAAATCTATCCTAGCACCTATTGTTGCTCTTTAGACTGGGTCAGGTTCAGGAGGACCTAAACTTATCCAAAAGCTTTTCTGTGCAAACACAGTCTGATACGAAGCCCTCCATCGAGGACATCGACGTGTTCTGTGACCTTTCTGAGCCAAATAAAATATAATTATTGACATTACAATGTATATCAGTGTTTCTCATTTCAATGAGCATTTTAATGAAAGTTATCGCAAACATTTGTAAAAATTAATTGTGTTTGTTGTTTTTATACCATTAATAGACAATTCCCGGTCCAACAGAGGCAGACAGACGTGACGTAAAACATTTCATTACAGTGTAATAGTCATGTAAGCTAATACCTTAAACTGTGCAGACGTTACTACTCACATGAGAGAGGGCGCGCAGTGAATGTTGATGTGGGTGGGAAAATGTGGACATGTGCGTATTTGTGCGTGTGTGGTAACAGGTGCTTGAGTTGTCAGCGAGTGTGTGACCTTATAGTCGCAAAGTTCATGTAGATCCCTGAGAATTGACACTCCACCTCCCACACAGATTCACACGCAAGCACCAAGTCAGACTTCTTTATGAAAAGCAGAAACTGAGGTGACGTCAATTTAGAACCAATAATTATTAATTTAAGGAAAAAGCACCAGCTATAATCTCAGCTTACTGACTATATCCTCTAAACTTTGTGTATAACAAAACAATTTGTCAATTGAATACGTTTCCTTTTTTGATTATTTTTTAGAAAGGCCTGACTGGTAGCTTTTATTTTTCCTTTCCAACTTCAGCACATTCAGTGTCTCCAACTGTTTAATTATCTTCCAAAATTCAGAAACAAACAAACATCAAGGTGAGGTTCTGCCTCAAGTGAAGGAGTTCAATTATCTTTGGGTTTTGCTCAAGAGTGAGGGAAGAGTGGAGCGTGAGATTAACATATGGATTGGTGTAGCGTCTGCAGTATTGTGGGCTCTGTGCTGGTCCGTTGTGGTGATAAGGGAGCTGAGCTGTAAGTCAAAACTCTCTGTTTACCAGTCAGTCTACATTCCTACCCTTAACTATGGTCATGAACTCTGGATAGTGACTGAAAGAACAAGATCATGGATACAGGTGATTGAAATGAGTTTCCTCTGCAGGGTAGCTGGACTCTCCTTAAGAGATAGGGTGAGAAATTAAATTATCTGGGAGAGACTCAGAGTAGAACCACTGCTCCTTCACATCGAGAGGAGCCAGTTGAGGTGGTTCAGGCATCTGGTAAGGATGCTCCCTGGGCTAGGGTGCTTTGGGCATGTCTGACTAGGAGGAGACCCAGGGGAAGACCCAGGACACACTGGAGAGACTATGGGTGCATTCACACCAGCCCTGTTTAGTCTGCTTTAATTGCACTCTAGTCCATTTGCCTATAAAGTCCAGTTCGTTTGGGGAGGTGTGAATGTGCAATCGAACTCTGATGCAGATCAAAAAAGTGAACTCTGGCGCGGTTCGAATGCAGTGTGAATGCAAGTGGACCGAAGACCGCTCCAAAAGCAGGAAGTGGACTACAGCGCAGGGCATTCTGGGTAAATACAACCAAAACAAACGTGCATTTCTCATACCTCATACGGAGCCGTCTCAGTCGCCTTGCGTGAAGAACAACATTCTCCACGGTCTTCTGCCTCATCTTCTGCTCATGCTGTCTATTGTTGAAAAATGACAAATCAGAAATCCTAAAACCGCAAAAAATTTGAGGCCACTCTGTTTTTCTTTGTATTTCCAGAAGTAAGTTGTGCTCAGTGTCTTCTTCAGAGGTTTTCATGTCGTTTCCATCAGTAGTTCTTGGTGTAGCGCCTCCACAGGCGAGGAGGGGAACAGGTTGGCTCGAGTGATTCTGTGCATTGTGAATGTGAACCACATCAGCTGAAAATGTAAACAAATGTTCTGAATATTGGTCCCCAATAGAACCGAGTCTACCG